TGATATAAATTCACTTTATAAGGAAAATTTTGATTCTGGCCCCATAGTTGATCAACAGTATATTATTTGGTTCCAGACTAGAAAGGTCAAACAAAAAAAAGATGGCAAAAATTATCGATACCGTTTCGACAGTGACATACTTAATTGGCTCCCCAGTCAACTGGAGGTACGGGTGGCTATGAAATACGCCATGATATCAGCTGATGGGTAAGTCATGCTTTATCTGGCATACTCTGGCGTAGGAACATGGCTTGATGTTATGCGGAAGAATATAGGGACTCCCAGATGCCTCTGGAACTGCAATTGCTCGAATACTATAGAACTCTGGAGTGCTTCGTGCCCCCTACGCAAGTAGGAGCAAACTTAGCGGTGGAAATCTGTTCATTACTAGTAATATTTTATTTCTTAACCAATATTTCGCTTTTTCTCGATTATGCTTCCCAACGATGAATCGAAATAATACGAAAAAAATAAAAACTCACCGTAATAAACAGTCACCATTTATTCGACTGCACACCAAAGGTCTCGTGAGAATTTCAACACCGTAATTACGACTGCTCGTAATGGCATACGTCAGGCTTTGAAACAACCGTCAGCGCCATGGCCAAAAGCGGGAAAACGATAGTCGAACAGCCGGCAGCGCATGGTGAGCTCTGATATGGCTGACATCCGTCGAACAGTGCCATCATTATCATTCAATCAACGACCCAATGCCACCAGGAAACGGTCACCGAGGCGAGAGGTTGCCTTTTCGCTTCATGTAAATCACTTGAAAGTTCTGTTTACTGGCTTTCTTGGTATGCCGGTGAGTTCGAAACGCCGACGAATCGCCTCGGCCCTTAACCGGCTGCTCGATTCGCTGACAAAGACTCGTCAACGACGCTTATTGAATACTTCGATGACGCTGAAGAACAAAAAGCCTCGCTTTTTGAACGCATTTCGCTCTCGAAACGGTTTAAATCATCTTATTAGAAGCACGCCTAATTCGACCGGTTTTGTGCGCCACGTAAAGGTTAGATTAATTGGACCTCC